CAAGGACGCCTTTGCGGGCGAGGACTGGCTAGACACAGCAGACTACGATACCGACCTGTTCGAAGAGCCTCCCCATCACGGTCCTCCCCATCGCGGTCCTCCCCATCGCGGACCTCCTCACCATGGTCCCCCCGGAAAGGGCCCTCATCACCCACACGATCCCCATCACTCTCCCAATCAGACCATCTGGGAATTGATCTCGAAGAGCGAATATACCACGAAGCTTGCTGCTGCTATTGCTGACTTCCCCGATCTTGTCAAGACGCTCAATGGCACTAAAGCGAACTACACCCTCTTTGCTCCCACAGACCGCGCGTTCGAGAAGATCCCGAAGCACGCTCCTAAGCCACCAAAGGAGTTTCTGGAGAAAATCCTGTCATACCACGTTTCACCGGAGTTCTACCCTGCTCGTCGTGTCCTTCTCAGCAGAACCATTCCAACTGCTCTCGAAGCCAAGTTCATCGGCAAAGTCCCTCAACGTCTCTCGACTCAGGTCGGATTGAGAGGACTGACGGTCAACTTCTATTCTCGCATTGTGGCAATCAACATCTTTGCCACGAATGGCGTTATTCATGGCATTGACAGTATTCTCCTCCCTCCTCCCAAAGTGGTTGACATCCTCTCTGCACTCCCTGGCGAGTTCAGCACGCTTGATCTTGCGCTGGAGAAGACTGGCTTGTACCCTGCGTTCAACGATACCTCAAGCCACAGTGGAGGCACCTTGTTCGCCCCGTCCAACTTCGCCTTCAAACGTCTCGGGCCCCGTGTCAACGCCTTCCTTTTCAGCCGATTCGGTCTCAAGTACCTCAAAGCCCTGATCCTGTATCATGCCGGCGACAATATTACATTGTACTCGGACGCCATTTACAAAGCCGACTCTGACGCTGATGCCGGCTCACCCCACAAGGTGCCCAAAGGACTTATCCATGTCGACTTGCCAACCGGGCTTGAGGGCAAGAGTTTGAGTATCGACATTGCTCGCTACGGCCGACTGGTTACCATCAAGATCAACGGGTTCACCCGCGTTGCCGTTACGGATGGTATTGCGGCTGATGGTGTTTTGCATGTCGTGCCCAATGTCTTGATTCCACCCAAAACACCCGGTGGTCTAGGCGTTGCTGAAGATGACATGGATCTTGAGGAATTCAAGGCCAGACTGGCACCTTTTGTCGACACCGAGGAAGATGACATGATTGAGGATAACTTCGAGCTATGATGGCCGTCGCCTAACGGCACAGAGGAAGTCGCCGATAAACGTAAATAGGATATCCACATGTAACCAACTGACGGTGTGGGACGGCGAGTGTTTTGAGGGGGTGACTCTCACGTTGACCATCTCAGTAGCATGAAAACAATATGGAGTTTTCGATCCTTATTTCCATACCTGGTGGTGTTCTGGTTTATCATGATGTTACGTTGTTCCCACGTATCCGCCTACACCAATTGTATAGAAGCCTATGCCATGTTGGCTAAGGTAATCTCGTCCGGGAACAAACTTGACCAGCAGCTTTCACAGTAAAGGGACTAGGAATGGAGCACTAAGTGAGAACGAGCTTAGACAATATCTTTCAGCCTCTCCCGAGACGAGGACCATCAATCGCATTGATCATTCGAGCCAGCTATTCCTCAGGTATTCCAGTCATTCTTTGTCCTCTATATGCCCTACCTGCCTGTCTGCCTGCCTGCCCATCCACAATCTTACGAGGTACGAAACCCATCGCCCGACTCGAGAGCAATACATGAAGCATCGACTCTGTTCGTGACGCTCCCCTTACTCGGTATCACATCCCTCTCACATACACGCTCACACACGCACACATGAGTGATCACGCCTTCCACCGCCCCTCGATCGCCTTTCTCCTGACCAACGGCCTCAGCGCCATGACTCCGGCCCCCAGCGCCAACACGGTGAGCACCAACTGCCCCTTGTTGAATCCCTTGCCCAGCACGTCGAACGCCATTGACGGCGTCACCGTCGTGCCGAATACATCGTGCCCGTACGCGAACACCACGCTCGTCGACTCCAGGAGACTGGGGCTCGAGAGCACAGATTCAACGCCGAGCACCTCGCGCGCGTGGGTCAGGTACCCGTGCGGATTCAGGTCCAGCACGGGATTGTACCGCAGGAGGCCCTCCTCTCGCTCTGTGGCGTTTGCGTCGCGGTCGATGGGGCGACGAGGGTCGACAAGCTCGCGCGGGATCCCGACTATGGCGTGCGAGTGGGGGAGCGTCGCGAGAAGTTGGCGCGAGGTTATGCCTTGTGCGGTCTGGGAGACTGCGAGATGAGAGATAGGTTCGGCAATGGTGAAGGCTTGAGAAATTACATGCGGACGTGCTGCGGCGGCGTCGGGTGCGAAGGCAGAGTAGTTGGTGGGCAGACCGGAAAGGAGGCCGCGGTCGTTGGGAGCAGAGGATTCGTAGAGTTCGGAGATCACGAGTTGGTGTGAAATGCCGGATGTTGAGGGATCGAATGACGTGAAGGTGTAGGCAAGCCAGTTCTCGGAAAGAACAGCAGGGATGACGTTATCAGATAGAACGCCGTTGTGGGTGGCGGTGTGCAGGACTGAGCCGGTGACCGCGTCAACGAGGTAGATTGTCAATGAGCCGGAGTCGGATGTTGCCAGTAGCAGCGCGATATTAGGGTTGAGGTATTTGTACAGCACAGATCTGTCCCCTAGAACCCGGCCGATGGAGGCGACAGGATCATGGGCGGCGCGTGAAATGGCACTGACGATCTTGAAGCCCGACTGTGGCTGAAGGATCCATGTCTTTTCGACATTCTGGCCGATAGTCCAGCCGATTGCCTTTCCCTCTGGGCTCAAGGTGACGACGATGTTTCCTTCCACAGCAGTGTTAGGGGCAAAGTCTGTTGCGGGATGAGGTACGCCATCTGCGCCGACCTTGATGACAGCTGGTGAAGGGCTGCCGGGGATGTGAATGAGCTCGGCGACAGGAATAGAGCCTAACTGCTGTTCGATGAGAGCTCCGGTAGTTGAGTTGAGGACAATCAGAGATCCGTCGGACAAATATATGGAAACTCTTCCACTTTCCACTCCGATGGATCTCATCTCATTGTCTCCAGATATCTGGGAGGAAAGATCTGCTTGCCATCGTAGAAGGCCTGGCGGAGTAGCATCAACGGCAATCACCTCCTTTCGACTGGTCCCAAGCACGATCAGTTTGCTTCCTACGAGGCTTCGGCGAGCTGTGGCATCAGCGTCGGGAGATGATTGCAGAATGGTATCGGGCAGTCCTCGCAAATACTCGGGCAAGCTGGCAAGATCGTGCAGATGCCGCTTGACGCGATGAATGTAGGCGGTCAATGGGTTGATAGATGATTCGAGGTCGAGTTCTTCAGCCAAAGCATCGGGAGCTCCATTCTCATCCCAGGCAGCAATTTTAGCATAGGCCAACATTTCAGGCCTGCTCCATTGTAGCTCCCCATTTCGAATCAATGACCAATCGCCACTAGAAGAGAACTCAGCAACTCGAACAGCGTAACTTGATTTGCCCCTGCTGACAACCTCAACGGTGGCGTGTGGCTTAGAGCTACCAGGGGATGCCTTGAAGTTGGATTTATTCCACCGTGCTAGTTGGCCGTGGGACGCGGACGAGTAGAGGGAGACCTCCATTTCGGTAGAGCGCGTGAAGAAGACTGTCTCTTCAATGTTGCCTGCGGCAAAGAGGCTTTCCTCTGCTGTCGCGGGTAATGAGTAGGCTTTGGTGACATCGGCTGTTTTGATGTTGATGTGATAAATTTCCGCCCACTGCCGAGTTTTACCTTTGATGTGGAGCAAGAAATGAGTCGCCGCGGCTGCATGGCATGGGTGAATAACAGTAATATCCTCGATGTCGTCACCCTTATCATCCAATGCCAGTGTTGAAACCTTGGGGCTGTCGAGAAGACTGAGTTTGAATGACTTGAACGACTTGTCGGTGGAGATCAAGAAGGGGGAAGTAGAGCATGCGGCCGCTACATACTGGCCATTCGTCCCCAACGGCTCCGACTCAATTGGAGTACTCGTCTGGCTGACTTCCTTTCCCGTGGCTCTGTCAAGAGTAGTAATGGTCGCTTTGTTGCTGGTCAATAAGCCGTGGGATGTTGTGATGTAGTAAATGTGCTCCGCGGACACTGCAACCGAGGCTGGAGTTCCATGAGGTGTGCTTGAGTCGACATGATCCCATCTCGCCCCACTTCCGTCGCCTGCTATCCGAACAATAGTGGTATGAGCGGTGGGATCGACCGGCAAGGCCAAAACGACATAGTCCTGCGTAATTCTGCCCGTGACAGGTTCTGCGCCGCTCACAGCCTGCAATCCTCCTATCCTTGTGCCTTCAGGGACCGTGTAGTCCCAGACGAGTCTCCCATCCAGACCGTCCCAACAGGCAACTGTTCTGTCATGTCCGCTCACCAGTTGGCCATCTCTCTCTGCCGTAACGAGGTACGAAGTCGAAGCATTATTCACCGGCCACCCAGCTAGCGGCTGGCGCCATAGTACTGAACCATCCTTCGGATTGACAGCGCCTAGAATCGCCTTGTCTGAGACAGTGTAGAGAAGAGAGGCGTTCGTGTTCGAGTTTGGTTTGTGGAAAAAGGTTGTAGATGACTGCGGGCTGCCCAGGAGAGCATGGTGGAAATCTATGTGGAACGCATCGTCGGCGAAGATGGCTGTGACCGGTAGCAGCAGCGAAGTCAAGATCGAAACGACTCCATACCACCTCATCCTGCTAGCCAGGGATGTTGCAGGAGAGGCTGTTGCTTCTCACATGAATGAAATGGTTTCGAGAAACTGAAAGCACATGCTGCGCTCAGTCACGTGGAACACTCTATCGAACATTACATAAGCCTCGCGTAACCTGCCATTCAGGTGCTTAATGTCCTACACGCACGACACACAACGACTCGCTTGAAGCACTCAACTCACTCAACTCACTGCACTCTCATTACGTTCCTTCCCGCACGATTTTGTCATTCAAATTACCTAGATGTGCGATTCCAATTACTGACTCAAAATCTCTTGCAGTATGTGTCGATAATTCTCGAGCCCAGGCACATCCCGCCCAACCACCTTGGCTCCGTCATCCCACCTTCTCAGGTTTGCCTTTTCTGCCGGCCACCTCCCTTCCTGCCATGCCCGGACTTCTTCTGGGCTCATCGGGCCTCCTTGAAACCGCAGATTTTCCTTGCTCGCATCACTCAGGGTGTAGTAGTAGCCCTCCTCCGTCGCACAGAGATACCTCTTCGCGGGCACATGAGCTTCAACAAGCTCTGCCACCTTTGCCGGAAATCCCAACGCTAGCAGATACTGGGCGCCCAGGCTTTCGTGCGCGACCCGGCCCACACTATCGGACGGCTTCGAGTCAAGACCCGTACCGGCTTCCTGGTGCATGTTCTGTACCTTTGCGCCTAGGAATTTTTCGGCGTTGGCTTCTGGAATGATTTGCCCGATATCGTGAAGTAAAGCGGCAGCTATTGTCTGAGGATCTGCTGAGTTTTGCGCAGCAAGGTAAGCACATTGGAGGGAATGTTCAATCTGCGAGATTGGTTCCCCAATGTAATCACTCTGCCCGTGCGTGTTCAAGATTTCAAAGATCTGGGATGTGGCCTTCGAAGCCCCCAATTTCGAGGGTGATATCTCCTCATCGAACTGTGAGTAGCGGAACGTGTCAGTTGACTGACTTCATGGAAGCAGTGCAAGCCAGAGGCCAGAGAAGGTCTTTCCATACCACAAGCTGCCTTCCGGCATCGACACTCAGCATCGGACTACCGTACCCATATCTCAATGCACCTTCCTGGTAGGTTTTGCCTTTCTTTCTTAGCTGCGCTGGTGGCCATACTGCCTTTCTGTATGCATAATACTCGTCATGCAGATCACCCTCTCTAGCGCAGTTGTAAGTGGCATAAAGCGCTTTCCGGTCCAGACTACTGTGGTTTGCACCACTTCGGTGAGCAAGGTACGACCCAAAGATGAGAACTTCGCCTACAGCGTCCGAGTCAGCGGCTAGTCAGGATCGCTTGGTGCAACCGTTAAAAGGAATCAATTTTCTCACCAGCTGCAAGCTCAACGGGCGTCCAGGTCTGCTGCCTCGCCCATTCTGGCTCGATGCAGTTATCTTGTCCGATCGGAACGTCCATCTCATGGCTTCCTTTCACGACCTCTAACCCCCCATTCGTCATGTTTGATGGGTCGACCGCCAACAGAATAGCAGGGTGTTTGATTTTCTTGATGTGGGTGTACGCCGTGGAGTCGACATGGGGAGCAAAACCACCTGCGCCCCAAATAAAAGTGAGTTCCACGATACAGGGCAAGCATCATCGGGCGTGCGTACCGCTTCCCGCAAGCTTGTAGTTGATCTTCTCTTTGAAAAGCAACATTTGTTCGCCAGACAGCTGCTCGAGCCGACGAAGCAGCTTCCGTCCACGGAGGAGCCCATTGAGTCCTTCGTGAGAGTTTGCATAATTCTCCGTGCGGCAGAGCACTGTCTCGCCCCGGGCATTGATCTCCTGCCAGAACCCTCAGCTTGGATGCTACCACCACGATCCTTGGAAGAGATACCTCATACGGCATCCCGGGACTACGCTCATCTGTCGGCCAGTCATGGACTTCCTGTGCCCACTTCTGGAGGTCTTGCGTTTCATCCGCCGAGAGAATATCACGAAGAATCAAATACCCATTCTGATGAAAGAACCGGATTTGCTCTTCGGACAGCATTCTGGTTGTATTGCAACAAACAGTAATCTGGCACGAACACACAAAATCATTCCACTTTGAGTGCTCAGACTGCTCAGTTTTCCATCAAAAAGCTATACTGGCCTATCTTTGAAGGCTCGAGCTCCTTCTTCGCCACTGCCCAATCAGAAGGGCTCCCAGGGTTGTCGTCGTCTGTAGTCGATCAGTCATGGCATGTGTAAAGACCCGATCCTGCTCGTCAGACAAACATTGCAAGTTCAAAAGCCGAAAGGACTCTCGAGGACTACCACAAATCGCACTAGATATGCCTCGGTCAGACAGTAAAACCTCGCACTTCGAACCGACTGATCGCCGCAGACGCGCCTCTGGTGAATTTACATAGGGATCTTCTGCATGAGGATCGCCCCCTGGTCCGAACGATCAATCCGAATCATCTTGTTCCACCTTGGCACGTGGATCAAGCTCATGCAAGCTTACCCTTAAAAAGTGGCGCTCGAGCAGGGAGCGGAACGCCTCTCGCCTGCGCAAATCTATCCGGCTTCGAGGGGGGCAGTCGAAAAACCATTCGGCACGTTCCTGCACAACTGGCAGAAAATGGTTATCGCAGGTGTTGTCGACCCCGTTTTCAATGTCTACCTTGAGCGTCAGGGTTCGGACTTGACAACGGCGTCACGGCGCGGTGCCCTCTCGAGATCGAACATCCTTCTCGGTGGCGGCGCAAGAAGCTTTGAAGTAATGGGTGGAAAACTTATATTGACGGGTCTCTCGAGAGCAGATATATGATGGCCTCCCCGACCAGTGGTGCCCTAGACCGCGGACTTCATTCTTCTCCTTGCACGACAGCCTCACTCTGTTCAGCATGGCAAGCCCAAAGCATCAGCCTGCCTATGAGGTCACAGGCAAAGACTCCAACGAGGGTCAGTCCAGTATTCAAGATGTGGAAAAGTCCGAGAGGAGACTCAGCCAGGTAGACGTTGCCCGCATCACCAAAGTCTCCTCCATAATCACCGTCTTGGTTTCCGGCCTGGCTCTCTTCTCGGACGGGTACAATGCTCAGATCATCGGGTGAAGTCCTACGATGTCCTCGTCCCTGACTCGTGACTAACAGTCTCCCATGCAGATACATGGAACCGCTATTCACCGACTTGTACAAGGACGGCATGTCCAGCATCACCAAGACCAGACTGTCCAACGCCTACCTCATCGGGGAGATCTTTGGCATGCTGTTCTTCGGCTTCATCATCGACAAGATCGGCCGACGGACGGGAATCGTGTTTGCGACGTTTTTCCTGGTCCTGGGTATCGTGTTAGCTACCGCGGCGCATGGCACGTCCCAGCTGGGCATGTTTTGGATGATGATTGTCGCGCGTGGTATCGCTGGGTTCGGTGCTGGAGGTGAGATATATCTAGCCGTTTCTTCCGAATCTCCAATGCGGCTCGAACTCCTCTGTATCTAACAGGGCGTTCTCCCTAGGCGAATATCCCACCTGCGGAACAGGTAGCGCCGAGGCATCCGATGAGAGTGAATACGTCCGCCGCAAGCGAGGCTTCCTCGTCGCCGTGGCCACGGATTTCGCCATTGACTTCGGATTTGTGATGGCAGGCGTGATTGCGCTCATCGTGATCGAGTGCTATCACGAGAACGTCTCCAGCGGTATCTGGCGCGTCTGCTTCGGTCTGGGCTTCGTCCTACCCTTGGTTCTCTTCTTCTTCCGCATCCGCATGGTTGAATCGACCCAGTATCGCAAACATGCCATCAAACACAACGTACCCTACTGGTTGATCATCAAGCGCTACTGGAAGCCCATGGTGGGGACCTCCCTCGCCTGGTTCTTCTACGATTTGTAAGTCGGCTCTCTTCTCTCGGCCCGCTTTGGTTTAGATGGTCAGACGTCTCACTGATGGCACTCACACAACGCAGCGTCACTTACCCGTTCGGCATCTTCTCCTCCACCATCATCGGCCAGCTCAACCCCAACAACACCCTCATCCAGAACATCGGTTACGGCACCGTAGTCAACTGCTTCTACCTGCCCGGCTGCCTTACCGGCGGCCTACTCATGGACCGTATCGGGCGCAAACAAACCATGTGTCTTGGCTTTGCCCTCTGGGCAATATTGGGATTCATCCTCGGTGGCGCCCTCAACCCCATCCAATCCGTCTTCCCGCTCTTCGTCGTCATGTACGGCATCTTCAACTCATTGGGCGAGATGGGCCCGGGCGTGGCGACATTCCTGTGTGCCGCCGAATCTTTCCCCACGCCACTCCGTGGTCATTTTATGGGCTTTGCCGCCGCGGTGGGCAAAGCCGGTGCCGCGATCGGGACACAAGTATTCACGCCGATTCAAGATTCATTCAGCGACACGCAGAAGGGGACGCAGGCGGTGTTCCTGATTGGCGCGGGCTTCGCTGCCATAGGCGGTATCATCGCTTGGGTGTTCATCCCTGACCGAGATCGAGACCTGGAAAGCGAGGACGCCAACTTCAGGAGTTACCTCGCGGAGAACGGGTATGAAGGGACGTTTGGGGAGAGTTTGATGCACGAGGTCAGAACCACGGCGTTCAAGCCCGAGGTTATCAAGACGTCGTGATCATTCACTGCACTGTACTCTTGCGTACCGTCATGTCTTGTACTTGGTCTGGTCTGGTCTGGACTTGGAGGTTAGACTTGGCGAAGCTTCCTTTCGACTCGGTGTCGAGGGCCAAACCGTGCCAGATCTTGTACCCTATGCCGTATACCGAACCCCCCAATATCCCAGTGACGTTGTAAACTGTCGACCGACCCATCTGCTATGTTGCTTGTGATTGTGCCCTACGCACGAAGACAGACCCCGCCGTGATTGGCATGGCATAAAAATAAGCCGTGCCCCGTTGGCTGTGCATGTGCCTAGACTGACTAAACAATTTCCCGCTCGCAGGAGTGCCGTGGAACTTCACCTGGCGGCTCAACCTCGCGGCCGACTTTGTAGTAATATGCTGTCTTATTAGCGTAGTGTATACCCTGTACTGCGTATGAAGCTCGACCCCCTAAGCCCGCCGGGGAGGCCCTATCGCCCTCAAACTCGGGGCGTCGTAGGGGCTAGAAAGAAGCGCCGATTTGCTCAATGGCTGCAGCGCCGTGCAGCTTCTGGCGCGGTTTGGCATCGATCCCGCCCAGACCAACTTGGCAGAAGAGTTGTGTTTATGGTTCTGGATGGGATGATGCTTCATCCTTGGGAATATCCTTCAGCTGGACGGAGATGCGCGCAGAACAACGAAAGAAGTCGAAATCTGCTTGTTTAGGAAGGTTGTGGAAGATGATAACAGCTTCCTGAAGCCAGACAGAGCTTGGTGCTGTAGTCATGGCGGCGCTGGAGTCGGGATGACAATCCTGTACGACGCTTGCAGGGCGGGAAGTGACAGCTGCAGCATTCGATGCAATCCTGTCGCGGTGGTGATCAGCCAAATCCGAAGTGAGGGCCATCTGTGGAAGGCCAGACGATTTCGCGACTCTTGATGCCGCTCATTGTGAGACGGAAAGAGTGTAACTCAACGCTGTGCTCGTACCACAGTCGGTGTGAGATCACCCGCATACTCGGACAGGTAGGTACCAGGTATTTTCTCTTCATCGCCAGTCTTTCTGGGGTGTCGTGGATTTATGTCGTCTCCCGGAAGATGGACCTTGCTTAGTCGTGGCTTACTGTATGCACAACCACTGTAAGGCTGAAGAGTATGGCCCGCCCCAGCTCATGATCACCTTCGGCGGGTCAATGCGAGCGCAGACTGCTCATAAGACTCAACTGCTGCCCAGTACCCAGTAGAGGCGTGCAATACCTAGGTCACGCATATACCCAGTATGAGACCTGGGCGTGGATAGTAGCCACGAGCTCCATCTGGGATGGATACGGGTGTTTGCTCAGGTAGCCACCACCATGCCTTCAAAGCCAACCCTCGACTTCACACACCAGAGCAGTTGGTACCTAAGTAATTTCTGGTGATACCTGACGCGTTGCGCGTTACCAAAGGACCCGCGTATGCGGAGTTCGACCTTCCTGTCACTGTCGGCGGTGCGGGGAGTCACTCACTTCTCACTTCCCAAAGAACGTTCTCGAAACAGCGATGGATCCTGTTTGGCTGGACCACGTCATGGGCTCAGCATGCCGTTGCGCCCTTCTCCCACTGCTTCAGGCCACTTTCACTGTGGTCAATGATCCAAATTTGATCCTTGCTTCCATTGAGATTTTACTCGAGCGTTCCAGTGCTTCTACCCAGTACCGTCTCGAGCCAAAATCCCGCAAACCGGATCTTCCTTCCCACGCAGCCTAATCACCCACGCCTCACTCTATTTCTTCTTGTCGCCCAGTTTTACTACTTCCTCACTCAAACAAAAGTACCTCAAACCTCACGCATAACACGACATTTGCAACCAATCACAATCACACCGAACAATGGTAGCAGAGACCAAACTCTACGACGCCCTCTCCGTCTCCCCTTCGGCGTCACAAGATGATATCAAAAAAGCCTACCGGAAAGCAGCCCTGAAATGGCACCCGGACAAGAACAAAGACAGTCCAAACGCTGCCGAGAAGTTTAAAGAAGTCTCACAAGCATACGAGATCCTGTCAGATCCGGAGAAGAGAAAAGTGTACGATCAATATGGCCTAGAGTTCCTGCTAAGAGGTGGTCAAGCTCCACCGCCAGGTGCTGAAATGCCCGATGGCATGCCCGGTGGTGGATTTGGTGGTATGCCAGGCGGTTTCAGCTTTGGAGGAATGCCTGGTGGTGGTGGTACTCGGACGTTCCACTACTCAACAGGTGGTGGTGGTGGAGGAGGCTTCAACTTCTCGGATCCCAACGACATCTTTGCTCAGTTCGCCCGCAGTTCCGGTGGAGCAGGCGGTGACGACGATCCCATTTTCAATCTATTCGGTGGTGGCTTTGGGTCAGGTGGGAGAAGCGCTGGAAGTCGACGGACCACAGGCAATTTCTCGGCCAAGCCGCAAAGGCCACAGACCCCAGAAGTCACCGTCATCGAGCGACCACTACCGGTTACGCTGGAAGAATTGTCCACCGGCGCACACAAGAAGCTCAAGATCAAGAGAAAGACATTCAACGCCCAAGGTCAGCGCATAAGCGAGGATAAGCTCCTGGAGATGGACATAAAACCTGGCCTGAAGGCTGGTTCAAAGATAAAGTTCGCTGGAGTGGGAGATCAAGAAGAGGGCGGCACCCAGGACATGCACTTCATCGTCACAGAAAAGCCGCACCCGACTCTAACCCGCGATGGCGACAATCTGATAACGACAATCGAGTTGGACCTGAAAGAGGCGCTCACCGGTTGGAAGCGGACCGTAACGACCATTGATGGCAAGCAGTTGAATGTGTCGGGCGCGGGACCGACTCAACCCGGTCATGAAGAACGATTCCCAAGCCTAGGCATGCCGATTAGCAAGAAGCCTGGCGAACGAGGCGACTTTATCGTCAGAGTCAAAGTTAACTTCCCTCGGTCACTTACTGCTGCGCAGAAGGCAAAGATCAAGGAGGCATTGCCATAAGAAGACAGATTCTAGGGCCATCTGATGTGGCAGGACTGCATATACCTACCCCATCGCGGAGCTCACAGAGATCGAGCAGCTTGGGCAGAAATACCCAAGGGCAGAGATCTCTGTGAGCTCGCTGACTGACACCCTTGGGATACAGTCACCCGCAGAACCAGAGATGGTGGATGAGAGACGCACGAGAAGAGAACATGATACCCAGTAATGAGACAGGCAGTTTCATTGAGATGTCCAAGACACCGGCACTTCCCTTAGCCAGCTAGGATGGATCTCCAAACCGAGATGACTGCCCAGCGGCGTCCCCACGAAGGGTGTCCTGATGATTGAAAAACAAATCAGCCTCACGAATTGCATAGCATTAGGTAGCGACGGCGTTCATCAGAGGAGTCAGGAATGTTTCGTATCTTGTGGTATAATGAGAGGAAACGAGGACGATTGCATCACGGATGGCGTTTACTACAGGCCGTCGAGGGGTGGCTATTGTCGTGACGATTCTCTCTGAAGACTCGGGTGGACGGTGGGTTCTGAATTCTTCACAAAACACTTCAATATTACAAAGTTCCACATTCCGCGAACCCACTGCATTGCTTTTGAGTTCGTCAATTCGCGTGTGTTTTTCTGACTCACATCACACAAGTCCTTGCTGTGAGAGTACTCCTTATAGTATACATACTATACTACGTGTTCGTAGGCTCGTTTCGATCGTCACAACAACCACCCCGTTCACTTAGGACCTATTACGGCCCACACCATGATGAAAACACACCATCAGCGGCCCTCACAATTTCTCCACCGGCGCTCCCACCTCCACCTCGGCGATCTGATCGACGCCCTGATAATTAGGCACATCAAGCCCATACTTGGCCGCGACATCACGGCTCAAGAACCTGCCGCCAATGAAATGTCTCTTTCCCTTGTAGAACTTGACGCTCGGCTTCGCCGCCGTGAGCGAGATGAGGTACTCGGGCATGAAATTGTGGCCGACGAACTCCTCGCTCGGCGGGCCGGACTCTACGTCCCACGACGAAGGGGTGTCCACCGCCAGGACGGGGACCTTGGACGAGATGATCGACGAGAGGACCTTGTCGAACGGCTCGCGCACGGGCGGTTTGAAGCTGAATCCGAAGAGCGCATCGACGATGAGATCCGCGTGGGCGAGTTCGGCGTCGAAGTCCTCGGGCGTGGAGAGGAACGGGATGTGCAGATGGTGCAGCTGCTTCTGGAGGCCCGTGAAGATGGTCGCGTTGGTCGGTTTGGGGTAGTAGATCTTGGGGGTGTAGCCGTAGTGGTGCAGGTGGCGGGCACAGACGAGGCCGTCGCCTCCTAGACGACATCTTTAGCAGCGAGGAAAGGGGGGCGGGAATACAGATAAGGGACGAGGGAAAGGAGTGCGTACCGTTGTTTCCTGGCCCACATGCTATGAGGATGTTTTTGCCGTCTTGGGGATTTTGGACCTTGTATACTGAGCTCGTGAGCACGGCGTGTTAGCTTGGTCTGTCTGCATCGCTGAGTATGACTGTAGTAGAATAATCTGTGTTGGACTACACCCTTGGTGATGCTCACCGGCTTGAGAGACGCTCAATCCAGCCAACTCCATGAGTTGGTCGATGCTGAATCCGCCCTCCTCGCTCATGAGCTCCTTATCGAGCTCTGCCGCCTTTTGCGGTCCGAGTGTCTGATGAGTGGGGGTGTGAGCATCGAGAGTCTCCATGATGTCCGCATAGCAATTCTGATCCATTGGCAGCGCTTATCCTTGAACGGACTCACCTTCAGTGTTGTCATGTTTGAGTATCTTCTTGTCAGAATCGGAATTGGTGGAAAAGCAAGTGCCTGGCGGGGGATAAAGCTGCGAAGCGTGTGGAGCATAACCCGGCTTGCACGTCTCGACTATTAAAAATCCGATCACTTGGTGTAAACGTTGCTAGACAAGTGAAAGGTGTTTTGAGATTACGTTCAATTACTTGCACTGCTTGCTGCTGCTGCTCAAGCGAAGCATATCGTCATAGTTGGGACGAGCATTCGGGGTGGTTTCCGTTCCGCCAATCAGCAACGTTTCTGGCTCCGCACAAGGCTGAGCGAAGTTTGAGGGCGAGGTACAAGGCTGAATTCTCTTTACAGTTCTGTGTAGCTTTCCTTTTCCGTATCGAATCGAAGCCACTACACCTCCACAAGACCATAGAACACCACACCAGTTGCCCATTCCTGCCTCTCCGACCTTTCACACTACACCCCGACGCTCTACCCTCTACGCATTCTGCATTGCAGTCAGGATGGTCCTCCGCATCCGCCTCGCCCGCTTCGGCACGAAAAGAAAACCGATCTACAACATCATCCTCGCGCAAGCAAAATCAGGCCGCGACAAGAAGCCCATGGAAGTCCTAGGGACATATAACCCAATCCCACAGACTCCACTTGCAACCCCAGACACGCCCGAGCTGCTAGAGGATGGCACGAAATTTGTGCCCAAGAAACAAAAGGACGTGCAGTTAGATTTGATGCGCACACGATATTGGCTTGGTGTTGGAGCGCAACCGACAGAGCCGGTAGAGAAGCTGTTACGGCTGGTAAGTCACACAATTCCCATTACAATCACCTCCATCACGAAGGGCAACGATCTCCCGTGTGGGACACAGAAGCGCAGAAAAGGGAGGCATAACCCGTAAGAGGGGCTGCGCACGCGTTCTGCTGTATGTCTGGATGTCGAGCATGCATACATATATCAACGCGTTTGTCCGACTTCATGTTTTTTGTTGTTGTTGTTGTTGCTATTACACCTACTAAGCACGGATGCTCAATCGCAGATCGGTCTGATCGAAGAGAAACCCTCGATCGTGAAGCGATTTCCCACAATACCATATAAACCCCGAGCACAGGAACAGGCACAAACGGAGCCAGCGAAACAATCGCAGTGAGTGTAAATTAGGGACAGCAGAGCGCAGTGCCGCTGTGTACTTACATCGTCCAACGTCGAGCATTCCGAGGGCATAGCGAGCGGCGTTGAGGTTGAATTTGATGTTGGCACGGACATATCTCAGGCACAGCTGGGCAGAAGGTTGTAACATATCGGTCAGAGCATTGAAATACGGATGTATACCCAGGGAACTGATCTGTCCAGCACCATCACTGGCGCCAGCACGACGCCGTCACCCTTCTCTGTCGCCGCCCACAGATAAGCCCCCAAGTTGTCACGGAGGAATGTCGCCGGAAAACACCCTCCAGCCTCTCTACCATACGCATTAGTGGAGGCTTGAATGTGTCAAGAAATGGAAACAAGCCGAGAGCACCAACCCAGGCCCAAGAACCTATTGCACGACAGGTGGTGCTGAGAATGTCCCATTTTTCTGGAAAACAGCTCACTTGTAGCTGCTTTAGCTCTGCACAAACCTGGCCACGTCTCAAGAAATGGTTGGGATCAGCAAATTGTCGTCGTGAACGCATTGTGACTAGCCCATCCATATGCAGTGGGTGCTAGTGCTAGGAGTAGATATATTTCCAAGAAACTACAACGTCCACCAAGATAGACGTCTTGTTCGTGAATGCTTTGTACCATTCCACGGGTCGTTCTTTGGCTTCATCATCTCTCTCTATCTGATCTCTATTTTCGTTGCGCTTCATATCGACACTCTACAGTAGCCTGCCTCTGGTCTCATGCCACGAAAATGGCCTCTCCCTCACTCTCATCCATCCCACCTCAACTCACTTCAAAGTCTGCTCTATCTCGCCCGCCACCGTCCTGAACCGCGGCTCGTCGAGATATCTGCCTTGCCTTAGCTTTCCCAGCGTGCTCGGAACATCGAAGATATCCTTCGCAGCACTCTTCAGCTCGCTGTCACCCTTGAAGAAGACAAGTATCGTGCCCAACGCCACCAATGAGCGGTAAGCAGGTTCTGTTGACTGGCTTGCTGGATTGCTTGAAGCAGCAGAGTGGTTGACGGCTGGGAAGGAGGCCAGCAAGTTGGTCAGATCGGCGAGCAGCTCAAGTGCGTGGCTGGCATTGGCCTCGCTATCACCTGCGGAAGTAGTGATCAGGACAGCAATGTTGAGGTATAGCGTTGTCAGGGCGATCGCGACCGAGACATCAGAGGATGTGAATTGAGCGACGGGTTTGAGGGACTCGACAATGGCATCGAGATTTTCTTTCACGAGCCGACGACCGGTGGACGAGCCGTAGAGCAGGTTGGAAAAGAAACGCATAGAAATCATGGCGAGTTTGTTGTTGTCTCGCAGGAAACGCTCGTCGAAGATGCCGCTATTCAGAATACCGACCACGGTGTTGAAACTATCAGCACCTGAGGAGGGAAATTCCTGTGCCGCTGCTGCAATAAACCGGAGTAAGTCCAGGGCGGCGAGTCGGTTTGCTGGAGGTTGCCAACGTGTAACGACCTTGGCGAGAATGGACACGGCGGTTGAGATGGTCGGAGAGCCAGGTAATGACGCCTTGCCAGAGAAGTTGTACTTTTCCAGCTGCTGAGCGACATCTGATAGTGTCTTGATTTCATCACGTGAAAGCGCTATTTCGCTGCCGGAGTAATCGGCATTCTTCTTGTTGATCTGGGCCATCGCTGCACCGGGCTTGCCAATTACTACTGACAGGTAATCCTTTTGCGGCAGGGTTTGCTTGCTCTGTGTGGGCGGTGGAGGTTGGTATGATGATGTGGGAGCATCACCAGGTCGATACCGATTCTCAGTGCCCCAGGGGTCAGCACCTGTGGGTGCTTGTTGACCGAGAGTGGCACCTTGCGTGTTCTTGATGATGAAGTTGGCAGTTTCTTCGAGGTACGACATGGGCAATTCGTGATCTTGCAGGAACTTCGTAGCTGCATCGTAAGGATTTTGGTTGATGTTGTACGGTAATTTGAGAGGGGGCTTGCCGTCTTCGATGTCGATATCAAAGACGTAGTCATATTCCTTCCCGTGGTATGCAGTCTTCCCACTGGATGCAGCAGAATCAACAACTTGGCCGATCTTGATCCATTGTTGCTGTGATGTCGACCACTGATACAGACACGCCGAGCCGTCATCCTCTTTAATTATCTGACTCTGGCCCTCTTTCGTGCCTACCTTGCGTTTGAGGAAGTCGGGACCAGGAAGATCGGTCATATTGATCTGGCCAATTGTCTGCTGAGGTATGCTCGATGCTTGCAGGGACTCTTCGAATGCCGCGAGTGTCTCTGCATCAGCCACACGCTCTGAATCTCGGGTAAAGATACGCGCGAGTTTGTCGCTCGTCCCCACGATGATATCCCCATTGGGAGAAGCCGATACTGACCACACTGAGATTGCCGGCAAGGTAATGACTTGAATGCAATTCTGGCCTTCCCATATTCGAACTGACCTGTCCTCCCCTGAGCTCACAAGCTGGCCGGAGGGCAGGACTGCAAGAGAGTAGATGAAAGACTCATGGCCGATCAAGGAAGCCACGAGGTCTCCTTTCAAGGTCCATAGACGGATGATCCCATCATTTGTGGCAGCAGCGATCGCCGCACCGGTGTGGTGTCCTTCGGGGAGTTTGGCGAGAGCACGGACAATGTCTTGAGCATCCCAAGAGTGTCTTAACTTTCCCCGGATATCAAAGACTCTGATCTGCCGATCTGCACATCCCGTGACAGCCGTTTCCCCGTCAAACGCCAACACCGACCAGACAGTCGCCGTATGTCCTGCCAGATCGACAGCAACCTCCCATCTGCCAATTTCCCAGATTTTTGCTGTGCTATCCCAGCTGCCGCTCACAAAATAGTTGGCCTGGGCGCAGACATCTATCGAGCACACTTGGTTGCTATGTCCAACCATGAAAGCATCGGCATTCATATCAGTCGTTGTGGAGGGTTGCCGTGCTTCAATAAGCGCATCTTGTCCCGAAGAAAGTACGAGTCCTTCAGCGAAGTCTTTTGAGGGTGGAACATACGCAAGGCATGTCTTGAATTGAGCGCCATGTGAGGATTCCGTGTCGTCGTAAATTGGAGGGGAGATGGAGGTGCGCTTCCATATTCTCGTCGAGCCATCGCGGGAAGCCGTTACCGCAAAGGACGGATCAGGGAGCAATACGGCGCGGACCTACACTCGCACTCATGTCAGTTCTGAAACTCAATATAGATTGCGGTGAAACGCACATCGCTCTTGTGGCCGCTGAGCACGGCGCTGAGCTTATAATCAGATGTCCCGCCACTCATCTTGGGTGGTTGGTTAAATTCAGATGCATCTGCAGACGAGGTCACGTCTGAGAACAATGCGCGGAATTATAGAGCCGAACGAAATATGTGCGCGCAGAAAACCAACTACCACACTGCTTTTTCACTTTCCTGTCACTCACCTTCACTTCACAGCGTTCGACTGTCACGTAACTCAATGACAGCCTTGTGTATGACGTAACGCTTCAGCCTCGCCGTCCATGTTCGTAAACATCGTCCCTCCGGCAAAGTCGTTGGCTACTCCTGTTTTCACATGTAGATACACGCCGATCGCAAGAGAGGTTGTGCATACCGTATAGATATATCAGAGTGCATGATATCGGGCCACTTTTGTCGACCGCTCCATTTTACAGTGGGTGGTACAACAGAGGATCACTGTTAATCAAGATGGGTCGACAAATGCACCAGGGATTTCTACAGCTCTGCCAAATACCAAACACCAAACCACCCTCGTCTCCTCGTAACTACGAGTCGTGCGAGCAGGGCTGCGCCTTTGTCTCCGCTCCATCACTTGAGGCAAACGATACCCAGCATGTCGTCCTTGTAGAAGATAATCTCAGGCAGACGGATTACGAACGCTGTTGAGGTCTTGCGGTTTTCTAAAGCCAAAACCATCCCGGATCGACAACAGAGCCTAGAACTGTAACCTGTGCCTCGTGTGCGAAGCCTGCCACTCAAGTCGCCTGTCTTTCAAGCGAAATGACAAGCGAACTGATTGCTATTGGTGAAATCAACACCAGACCAAGGACAGCTGATTCGGTCCGGATGTTAATGGAGTTATCTCACTGCGTAAGAACACCCAGGGTGCAGGATATCTGATGCTAATAGTGCAAGTATGTATGATACCCTGCGTTAAGTCTCTATTCCACTGATATTCAAGAGGCTTGCCGATACCTCACCAACACAGGACTACAAGGGGACTGTCTCACCCATAATGGGTCCCATCATCCTTCAGTCAAGTCAGCACAGGTACAAAGCTCCATAAGAGGTGGACTTACATGGCCGGATATCGGTCACCCAGTAATTCAGTTGCATCAGCCGCCACCCTCAGCTCCTGGACCTCCTGTTCAGTCAACTTCAGACTAGCCGCGGCAGTGTTCTGCTCCAGATACTTGATGGTCCTCGTGCCGGGAATCGGGATGATATCGTCCCCCTGGGCCATCAGCCAGGCGATACTGGCTTGTGCAGGCGTGGCTCCGTGGTTCTTTGCCACGGCCTCAAACTTGTACACAAGATCCATGATCTTGCTAAAGTTCTCGGGAGAGTACTTGGGTATCAAGCGACGGAAGTCATTGGCCGGCAGGTCTTGCAGGGTCTTGATCTGTCCGGTCAAGAATCCCCGCCCAACAGGGGAGTACGCGACGACGGCAACACCCAGCTCACGACACGTGCGCAGAAGGTCGTTCTTCTCAATGTCAAGCACAAAGGGATTATACTCGACTTGCAGTGCCGAGACTTGGTGGACGGCACAGGCGCGACGAAGAGTCGATGGTGAGACCTCGGAGAGTCCAATGTACCGAATCTTGCCTTGACTGGAGATCGGTGTCAGTGACGACGACGACGACGACGACGACGAGACGATCGATTTCTCTCTCGCATGCAGGGTCCTCTTACTTCTTCAACTCCACCAGAGCTTGGATGGTTTTCTCGATGGGTGTCTCACGGTTGACCCGATGGCAATAGTACAGATCGATGGTCTCAATACCCAACCTCTTGAGACTTTTCTCGCACGCCTCCCTGACGTACTCCGGGTCCGATCTCTCGCTTTGCTTGAAGTCTGCCGTGTATTGCAGCCCAAACTTGGTCGCGAGGAAGATATCCTTGCGCTTCTCTGGGTTTTGCTTGAACCATTTCCCGATGATGTCTTCGCTGTCGAAGTACACATCGGCGGTATCCCAGAACCACTCCCCAACGGCATGGGCGCGATCAAGGACGGCAAGCTTGTCTGCTTCGGTGTCCTTCTGGCCGTACGCGCCACCAATGCTCATCGCGCCGAACCCGACGGCCGTGACCTGGGGACCGTTGCGGCCCAGTGTCCTCGTAGGTGTCGACATCTCTGCTGGCGGGGTCCGTCTCGCGGTTGTAGGGGAGATATGTGATCGTGCAGAGTGCTCAAGCTGACCGATGATAGCGAAGAAGAAATCTCACGATGAGGATGTGAATGTGAATGTGAGATGAAGCTGGAGAGTACTCCCTCCAGCATTGAGGATCCTCCTTCTTATGTAGCCATCACGCCAGGCGCATGTCCCTTCGCAAACCTACATGAATTGGTCCGCTCACGGGCGAAAGTCTAACTGCTGAATTCCAATTGCTAACTCCGCCACCGAGTCATACAAGTACAGCAGACTACAGAGCCTTTGCTATACTATTAAGAGTGCCCAGTGAGGTATTTGAAAGAAGCCAAGCACCGTAAAGGGTACTTGCGCTCCACGCTTATGCAACCAATCGGTCCAGCTCCCCCGGGGTGGACCCCCACGAGTGTCTCTGACGACCCTTAGCATGCCCATTGCTATACAGGCATGCCGGACTTTGGTTATACAGTATGAGGGTTATAACCATTCTGGAACCATATCGGGTGGGTGGAAATACATTCGCCGCCAACGCTGGCCTCAAATTTCGAGGGACTGTCGTTGTTTGTACGGAGATTCAGACTGAAAATCAGAACCAAAGGGGACTTTTACCCTTTTGTTCTACTGGAGATCCCTGCTCTCCATGAGTCCCCCAGAGGACATCTGCGTTATGGTTTTACAGATGTGCCGCCCCAGCCAAACTCCCCACCTGACAATGTCTTCAACCCGGATCGCGCCAGTAAGATGACCTCAACACCAGAGAGACCATTCATTGTCTAATGCTGGCCATTGAGATTTGCAGCTCGTGACAGCGGAGGTGGACGAACCATGACCTCTCAGGCACCTTCAGCCGTGTCCGTCCGTGCCAAGAATACTGACGATGGCAGTCGGACCAAAGATACTCCAAACTTCTCATCTGTCCGTCCATAACGATGATCATTTGTGGTGGCCATCTGTCCGCAGTCTATGACTTTCACGAATGGATGGCTCGATCTAGGATTGATTGTCAACTCGCTGTTAACTCATTATCGCAATCTCATCGGCCCCCGATGGCCAATATTTCTGGTGGTGGCGATCCACCACCCATCAGCCAGCATGTCGTGCCGTTGCCTAATGACACAGCACCTGCCGACACAAACAACAGAGCTCTCCTGGGCCCAAAGCCGGGTCCCGACAAGGCTGTGAAACGTGCAAGTGAGTCTTGCCCGTGATATCCGTGCATCCACGTCACATGCCCATCCAGACGGACGCAGGAAGGAGGGCATCAAATGCGATCATGTCTGGCCTGCGTGCCACAAATGCAAGGCCGCCGCACGGGTATGTGATGGCTACACGTCTGGCGCCGAGGAGGCAAGCCCTATGGTCTATACGGCTAGCGTTCGAAAACCCTAGGACCATCAAGACCAGATGGCCTCGCCGCCTGTGGCAGTTGAATGCACCCGTTCAGCACTGACATATCACCCGAACAGCACTAGTCGCTCGAGATGCTCCGGCTCCATTGGGCGTCACACCATCGGGCATCTTCGATTCCGAGTCCTGGGACAGGTTTATCCTGTACACCAGCGCCGCCGAAACAGCATTTCTCGGTAATCCAAAACTGCGGAATCGATGAAAGTCCCTTCTATACGTTGCATAGCCTGGGAGCCTGTTGTCCACTGTGTTTGTCCCCCGCTTTTGAGGACTTGTTTTCTGCGAGATCCAGGAAGCCGCCGCCCGCTTCCGTCGCGGACAGGTCTGATCAGATGGCAGCCCCCTTGGGCGCTACAGGCACGTTCTTTTCCAGAGTATTCGCTTCGTCGGGCACTTTGCCTTCCGTCTTCAGCTTCGCGTCCACTTTCTCGTTCCACTCCAGCACGTGCAGGCACAATCCCTCGAGAGTGGTGTGTCCTGGATTGTAACCCAGTTCCTTCCTCGCACGGGAATCGTCGTAGATGATGTATAGAGTGGAGTAATTGAACACGGCAGGCTGGAGCATGGTGAGTTCGTAATTTGTCACCGCAGGCAGGAAGTTAAGGTGTCGACGCTGCAGCACGATATACCCTTCCAGGAGGTGCGCAACCAAGACAAGCAGCACACCGGGGACCGGGGTGAAATGCATGGGCGTTTTGGGGTGAGCCAGCGTGCTCAGCAAGCGGAACAGGTCTGTGTACCGAAACGGTGGGCCAGGATCGCTGACACAGTAGGCGTTGCCACCGACGTCCCGGCCCTCGAGCAGACGTGCTTCATACAAGAGGTGAGCTAGAGAGACGTTCTGCGCAGAGACATATTGAAGGACAAGCGGGTAAAGCCAGCTATCGATTAGAAAGAAACCGTCAGCCATGGCCATGCACGTCTTGCGGCCCAGCAACGAAGAGGGGGAAAACATTGGCTCACGTTGGAAGACCGCCTCGTCTCAAATAGTCGTAGACGACAGAATTCCGATTTTCGGCTCCATGTCCGTAGATGGCGTGCCCCGGTCTGATGGCACCGGTTCTAAACCCTGCTTTCATGTCATCGGCGTCGGTTACCAACTTCTCAGCCAATGCTTTCGAATAGGCATAACAGCCTGCAAAGTTTTCCACTTTGTCCAGCGACGGAGGGTCTGCGTTCTCCGATATCTGGACGAAGTTTCTGGGATATTTCTGCCATGGTGGAAAGAGGAAATTAGCGGGTCTGATGCCTATGCTGCCAGATGAGGTGGCGATAAAGATGTCGCATCCAGCCGCCCGAGCAGCCTCGAGCACGTTTCTTGTGCCTTCGACATTCACTTTCATGAAGGTGTCAAGGAAGTCTGCTTTGCCATAGCCGGCATGAATGTAGGCGACGGTGTGAAAGACCGTCAGTGGCAGATTGGCGAATTCGGCTGGCCAGGGAGCATTGAAAACCTTTTCGACGGCGGCACGATCTGTGACATCGGCCTTGAAGTGCGGGACGTTGTTTGTGACGGCCAACTCTCGGCAGGGAGGCTGGAGGTCGACAATGCGGATGGCAGCAGGGTTCTGACCTCGCATGATCAAGTGCTCGACCATCCAGCCGCCGACGAGACCTTTAGGCGGTCAGACGACGGCGAACGCATATTGTGCACGTAAGGCCACCCACCTGATCCTCCGAACACGATATATCGTCTATCCTGCTTCGGCGGCAGATATTTCTTGAAGTCGGGTCTGCTCTTGCGGCATTTCTCGTAGGCTTCTCGAATGACCTCGTCTGTCCAAGGTTTGCCCGCGATCTTTGCGACCTCTTCCGGAGTGGTGGACAAGACGCTGTTGATGTGGTACAAAAAGACGCTGAAGCCAAGGCCGACGACGAAGGCGAGCAGAAGGAATTGAAGCCACATGTCTTCCAGCGGTGGATGACAATTGACCCTGGGCTGGTGAAGTCAACAACAAGATAACACCGAAGGACCCTGGTGGCGGTCTTCTCGTTTCTGTACGGTGCTGCGCGTTTGACAAGAAATGTAAGCGTAGCAACTGAACTTGAGTGGGACGGAACTTGCCAAACAGTGATGAAAGTTGGAAGATTGCTGCCTGGTTACACATCGGTAGCGGATGGGTATTAATAGTCTGACCGGTCTTGCTCCTGTATCCCGATTATCCTTGGTGGGAGATTTATTCTGGTTAATTAGATAAGACCGAAGACAGGACAAGACAACGGCTGCTGGGTGCCTGATGACGGTGACTTCGTTTGACGCCGTCTGCCTCTTCCGGCTCGGTTTACGAGGTGTCGTACAGTACTGGTTGAAAGACGCCACGCCGGCAAGAGGGAGTCTTACACATCGCGCATGATTACTGTACGGAGTACTACATTATGAGAACGTTAATGGTTTCAATGCCTCCGCAGCAGTTCAGACATGGAGTACTGCTTGGTTGCCTGGTGTGGGCTTCACAAGAAATTCCCACACGCGCTGAGTCGGCCGCGACTCTCACGGCTGGCCGGAACGCGAATTCCCGGATCACGCTCTGTTCCCCTCGACAGCACCGGCTACAAATTTCGAGGACATCGTGCATTCCTGCCTAGCTGCCCAGTTGAGAGATTGTCGATATACTGCCGAAGGGAAAATGGGCAATACTGCTGCGAAAACTTCCCACCTCGCTTGGAAATGGTCAATCGGCCTGCTCATCCTGACTCTGTTGGCCGGCCTGTACTCATGGGCTGATTCCATCAAGGTACGGACAAGACGATCCACTATCGCTCTTCTATACCTCTTGCTGACGCAGCCGGCCTGAATCCGTAGTCCAGGTGGTACATCTTCGATCATACCGAGCTGCAGAAGCTAGTAGACGAAAGCCTGCGCCTGTATCCCAACTCAACCGCCGGCGTGGTTCACAACATCGTTTCGACACTTCGCGAGATACACGGACCAGCACTCGTCGGCGTCGATCCTTTCCCAGGTGCCGATCCTAGCAAGCATGACATCTCGCCCATCTCGCCATATCCAGAGCAATGGATGTTCAACAACGCCGGTGGTGCGATGGGGTCGATGTACATTATTCACGCCAGCATCACCGAGTACCTGATCATTTTCGGCACGGCGCTCGGAACTGAGGGCCATTCCGGGCGCCATACAGCCGACGACTACTTCATGATCCTCGAGGGCGAGCAGTGGGCTTACCCAGCACACTCACTGGCACTCGAGCGGTATCCGAAGGGGAGCATGCACCATCTCCCTCGAGGCCAGGTCAAGCAGTACAAGATGCACCGCGGAGCCTGGGCGTTAGAACTGGCTCAGGGCTGGATTCCGCCGATGCTACCATTTGGGCTTGCCGACACGGTCTTCTCGACGCTGGATTTCCTTACATTTGCCCGCACGGCGTGGTTGACGGCCCGGAAGATGATCGGCTGTCTGCTCGTTGGCAAGATCTAGATTGCAAGTTGACGGATTTGGAAGACGGCACAGAATTAGGAGGTTCCTCATACCACAATGGCGTCTTGGTCTTCCGGCTCTCGGGGCACCTTTCCACTGTCCCCTTTAGCCTGTGCAGGCCTGACCATGACGATCTGCGCGTACCAGCCATCCTTCCTGCCGGGATCCGCCCTTAGCCTCTCGTCCTCGAATTCTTGACCTCTATCCCCACCGTTGTCCCATCTCTTTAGGTCGATCCAGATTTCTGCCCCGGGCCATTCTGCCTTCGTGAAACCAACGGCCTCGTACACGCTCACTCCAGCAGGACTAGCCTCCAACATGGTGGGCAATCCCAGACCATCGGCCTCACGACAGGCATGACGCATAAGCATACCGCCCGCCCCACGGCGTTGGTGTGCAGGATCCGTGTACAGGACGTCAATGACCATATGTGAGCCGAGAGTCTTCATCGCATGCTTGCGGGCGGCCACCATTGGCCCGACGAAGGCATTCCTCAGCGCCTCGTTCTCATGTGTCAAGCCGTGGACGGGCTGATCGGGATTGTCGATGACCTCTTGCGTACCGGTATCCGGATGCGGGCCTCCTTCGGGGACGAGATAATACTTGATTGCAGCAATGACACGCCCACGGGGCTTCTCTGAGACCTGTTCAGTCCCGGTACTGCCCTCTTCGTGTTCCAGGACAGTTTCGTCTTTCAGTTCGTCGTCGATTACCACAACGCACCGACATTGCGGCTCATTCTGCAACGAATGTGTGTGTCGGTCGAGGTATTTCTGCCTAATAATGGGATGAGAACTTTCGGGGCTGGAGTACACTGTCTGCATGAGCTCGATTGTCATCCACGCAGCGAGGTGTATTCGTGCGACGGCAGGCAAAAGCTTGAAGTCCGAGACACGGTCCCGTGAGAGCGTGTAAAGGTGTAGCGTCATCTTAACCAACCGAGTTCCTCAACCTCGTGCTCAAGTCGTCTTGCTCCAGCTGCGTGCTTGCGAAGTCTTAGAGGCTGAGGTTGACTTGAGCGGGCTCTGAAAATTTATCTTGGGTGTCGCGTGCTAATTGTTGCTCACTTTGGCCTCAATGCGACGTCGCATGCAGGTAAAAGGCCGATCTTCATCTTTGCGGCCTTTGACTAACGCTCGCTGCACAGTAACAAGTACACACCTTGGTAATTATTCACATCCTGTTTAGACCCCAGTACTCAGTGCCTTCTGCGAAATGGATCAGTTTGTCACTTGCAACTCTGACTTGAGAGAGGGTGTCAGAAAGGTCCATTCACCCCCGTGTCAGCTTCCCTTGACCCAAGCCGAAGACCAAGCCGAAGACCAAGCCAAAGACTTGCTTCTCTTTCAGCACGTGTTGAATGCATTGCTGAATCTCTCAAGACTTGCGGTTTGTCCTGCAGATGGTAAATTAAAGATCGCCTTCCCTCAAGATTGCAATCTCGCTGGCTAAAGAAACGCGCATCTTCTGGGCCAATCACCGCCACCTCAACCACGATACCCTGTCGAACACTCTGGTTCAGCTTCATACGAGCTACTCTTCAATTTGGATACCTGCATGTAGCATGGTCCTACAGTCTTCGGCAGAAGAAATATGGCATTCCTAACCATTTGCTCATGCTGTATCCCAGCGTCCATAAATACCGATGGAACGCCAGATCGTATCTAACGCCTGCGCCTGGCCGTGAACCGTTCGCTCGTTCTCTATTCGGTTCACCATGAGGTTCGCTGAGATCTTCGCGCACGTCACTGCCGCTGCGCTCTCACTGTCCTGTGCTACAGCACAGACCATTGCTCAGATCAATGGCAACAGGTTTATCTCGCCCTACCGCAACCAGAACGTCACCAACGTTACAGGCTTGGTCACTGCCACAGGGCCAAATGGGCTATGGATCCGCTCTACGACGCCAGATTCGGACATTCGCACCTCGGAATCCATCTACGTCTTTGGCAGGCTATCTAGTAATCTCACCGTGACGGCCGGGGACGTAATTGTCCTCGATGGGCTCGTCTCCGAGTTTCGCTCCAACGCTGCATATCTCTACTTGACCGAGATCACTCGCCCTGCCAACGCCAAGGTGGTGTCGCGCGGCAATCCCGTCAGTGCCGTCGTGTTGGGCAAACAGGATACCAGCCCGCCCACGGAGCAGTACTCTTTGCTCGACGAGGGCGATGTCTTTACCGTGCCAAACAACGCAAGCCAGATATCGACCACTAACCCCGTGCTGCAACCATGGGCATATGGCCTCGATTTCTGGGAGAGTCTAAGCGGCGAGCTCGTCACCGTCAGGGGCGCCTCCGCCGTCGCCAAACCCAACTCCTTCAATGAGACCTGGGTCACTGGCAACTGGAGGAAGACGGGCAAGAACAGCAGAGGTGGCTTGACGATGACGCCTGGGGACGCCAACCCGGAAGCCATCATCATCGGCGCGCCCCTGGACGGGACCGTCCACCCCACCGACATCAAGCTGGGCGACCAGCTCGGGGACATCACGGGTGTTGTCTACCAGCAGTTCGGTTACTATTACATCCTCCCCTTGACGGCACTCAGCGTGACTGATTCGATGTCGCCGGCCCTTCCACCCCCGATCAGCTGGACCTCCAAAGGTAACTGCCACAAAATCACAGTTGGGCAATACAACGTGGAGAATTTAGCGGCCAACTCGAGCAGCCTGCCATCCATCGCCCAGCACATCGCCTACTACCTGAACTCCCCCGACCTCGTCTTCCTCCAGGAGATCCAAGATAACAGCGGGCCGACGGACGACGGCGTCGTGTCCGCCAACGCCACGCTGGAGGCCCTCGCCGCGGCCATCGAAGCCGCGGGCGGTGTCTCGTACGCGTACACCGACATCGACCCCCAGAACAACCAAGAGGGCGGCCAGCCAGGCGGCAACATCCGCCCGGCATACCTGTACAACCCTGCGGTGTTGAATCTAAAGACCAACAGCAACGGCACCACTACTCCCCCGGGCACAGTTCTTGACGCCAACGCCGTCCTCCCTGGCCCGACGCTGAAATATAACCCCGGGCTGATCGACCCCGCGAACGCGGCGTGGGAGAACTCGCGCAAACCGATCGCCGCGCAGTGGGAGACGGTGCGCGACAAGGCCACCCTCTTCACGGTGAACGTGCACTTCACCTCCAAGGGCGGGAGTTCCACCATCGAAGGGGACCCGCGCCCTCCCGTCAACGGCGGTGTCGACAAGCGCGTCGCCCAGGCCACCGTCGTGGGCGACTTTGTGGCGCGCATCCTGGCCGAGGACCCGGCCGCCGCGGTCGTCGCGGCCGGGGATTTCAACGAGTTCGCGTTCGTGGCGCCGTTGGAGACGTTCGTGGCCGTGTCCGGGCTCGTGAATCTCGATGACGCCGCCGGCGTGGCGGCCAAGGAACGGTACACCTATCTGTTTGAGATGAACAGTCAGGAGTTGGACCACATGTTTGTGAGCCCCAAGATTGCGGGCTCGCCTGGGGGCCGGCCCGACTTGAAGCACGTCCATGTGAATACGTGGGTGGCCTCGGCGGAGCAACTCTCCGATCATGATCCCAGTGTCGCGAGGTTGGATATTTGCTAAGGCGAAAGAATCACAAAGCAGATCAGTACGTGCGTAGGAGTTGATTAGTACCTAATGACCACGAAACCAGGATGGAGGACGGAGTATGCAGTATTGGTATCGCAGCGGAACGCTAGCTACTAGCGAAACTACTCGGACGAGAACACGGCAACAGCAGTCACTCGAGCAATCAATCGATCGATACCTGAGAAATAATCTCTAATTTCCTGTTTCTCATGCTGCAAGATCGGAACCTTTAGCTGTGGTCATATCTCGCTTTTGGACTCACCGTTGTCAAAACCAAGCCTGTCCATGATTATCATTTTTGTCTAGCTGGTCAAGCTGTCAACCCGTCAACCCGTCAAGTCCTTGTCATGTGAACAGAACACAACAGACATCTCATCGTGATGTTCTTGGTGTAAGCCACTGTGATGGCGGGCCATGCTCCTTTATGTAGCTTCCCTCTCCCCTGGAGCAAGAAGTTGTACTCGTCCAGTCCGAGAGCCATGCAGGTGTACTGGTTGAACTCGGTCATGTTGGTGATCTCCGTCGCATTGGAAATCTGGATTTTCCTACCATTCTCGGCTTGAGCTCCTTGTACAGGGATCTTCACGAGGGGTATTGCCAATCAGGGGCGAGGCAGGCCCTGTCGTCCCAGGGGTCAAGTCCCGCTGTTTCGCTGCTGTTGGTTACGAAGGCTGTGGTCTGTTCGAGGTAGAAACCGTTCATGCTTGGATCTAAGATAGATTGACTCGTCATGATCAAGTAAGTCTGCGAGGTTGAAAGCGACTGGTAGCTTCCCGCGCCTCTCTTCAGAACAATGTACGTGACGGCTCCGAATACTTGGCCTCGATGGGTTGGGAGGTGGTTGAAGTCGAGCCGCTTGAGCGACCGTCGGGGCAGGCTCACCGACGGCACTCGCACCTGCGCGTCATGTCTGCCGGTGTCAAGCTCCATCTTCATCTGAGTGCGCTCGTCAAGCTTGAGGGGTATTGAAGCGGAGCTGAGAGTATATCACTCATTCTCAGAATGCTTGTAACAGAATACTTTGGCAATTCACGTGGCATTTAAGAATCGAGGTCACACCAGGCAGGAGAATATCTTCGTCTGTGTTAAAGGGAGAAAGTCGATATTTGCCGTGATTACAAGTTTGGTGACGTTGAGGCAAACCTCAGATATTGTTTGTTCAATGGAATTGTTTTCGTCTTACCTCCCTTTACACTCACTTACTTTACATTCACCTCACTTTCATTTCGGCTAACGCGCTTCGACTAATCCTTCTTCTATTGACATGTCTCTTACTTCACTCACTCTTTCGAGCATTTATCCCGTCACTCATGACTACGTCAACTCGCAATCGCACTTCCCACCGACACTATTCCTCCTGCCTTGTTCCCACCGAGGCTCTGGTAGTGCTACTGCGCAGGATACGGATCTGTTGGCACATAGAGACCGGCAGAGGCGAGGCCAACACGCGGCAAGGAGATCGGTATGTTGACAGATGGGCCATATCGACGTGGTCGCACAAAAAACGCATGTTTATCGAAGCTTCCTCAAAGCTGAGGCATATGTAAAGTGGTTGGGCTACCATGGGGTGCCATGCCAGCTATATTCAAAATAATACAGTAAGTGGCCGGCGTCATGCGAAATTCACTCAGAAAGGCTCACTAATTAAGCCCCCATTCGAGCCGAGGCATCATATAGTTGTGGTGTGCAGGCAGGAGTCTTCGTACTGGATACGTCCAACCGACCAAGACCTCATGCCTATCTACACCTCATATAATTTCCCTGCAGTTGCCTTTGTGTCGAGACTACGAGATAATACTTATCGTGACATCGGTCCACAGTCATGAACAGGGTCAATTTCCGCACAATCGACAGCATCACCCACTTGTGGGAGACTCTCAACCTCCCCAAGGAAGCTCTCAAATCCATCAATATCTCGGACGCCGATACTATATGTCTCCCCTCGTCGTTCAAAATCGGTCATCTAGCACAAACTTCAATCACTCTGACAGCTTTACTCGCAGCTCTGATCCACTCCGAGCGCGAAACCCTCAAGTTCATCCCGCAGGTCACGGTACCTGTCCGCCGTGCCTGTTTGGAGTTCAAGTCCGAGCGGCTCCTCACCATCAACGGGAAGCCCATGCCCTCAACATGGGGGCCGATAGGCGGTCTGCACAGGACTTTGGACGGATACGTACGCGTTCATGACTCTTTCCCGAACCACCGCGCCGCAACGAAGAAGCTGCTTGGCCTCGCTGAAGACGCGGATCGGGAAGCCGTGAGCCGCGCGATTGCGACCTGGAAATCAGTCGATCTTGAAGATGCAGCTGTCGGTGCAGGTGCGGTGGTGGCCGCATTGAGGAGCTTCGAGCAGTGGGACGAGTTGCCTCACGCGAAAGCCGTGGCAGACTTTCCAATCCAAATCACCAAGATCGCCGATTCACCGGCTGGGATCCCTGACCACCTTACCGCCGCTGGTGGCAGGAAGAGGTGTCTCCACGGGCTGCAGGTTCTGGAACTCAGTCGCGTCATCGCTGCACCGGTGGCCGGGAGGACGTTGGCCGCCCACGGCGCGGATGTGCTCTGGATCACAAGCCCAGATCTGCCGGACCTACCCAGCATTGACCGGGACACGGGAAGAGGTAAGAGGACCGCACAACTGGACCTAAATCAAACAACGGATCGGGAGAAGATGTTAGAGCTCATCGACGACGCGGATGTCTTCCTTCAGGGGTATCGTCCGGACAGTCTGGCAGCGAGGGGTCTCTCGCCTGCGCAACTCGCTGCGAGACGAGAGCAGGACGGAAAGAAGGGCATCATCTGCGCGAACCTCTCTGCGTATGGTCCCACCGGCCCGTGGAGCCAACGGCGAGGCTTCGACTCGCTCGTGCAGACATGCTCGGGAATGAACGTCTCTGAAGCCGAGCACTTCGGCCAGACCGATCCTCCTGCCAAGCCTATGCCTTGTCAAGCACTTGACCATGCGAGCGGCTATTTCCTCGCAGCCGGAATTTTGGCTGCTCTGTATCGGCAGATTAGGGAAGGTGGGTCGTGGCAAGTCGACGTCAGTCTAGTCGGAACGATGAAATACCTTAGGAGCTTAGGCCAGTATGAAGGCTTGTCGGGGTTTCAGTGGGATGCTGACTCAATGGAGGGCGTGCCTGAGGTGTATCTCGAGTCCAGACTGTCTGACTTTGGGACACTCAAGGCTGTCAGACATGCCGCCGCTATCGAGGGCATTAACGTGGGGTGGGATATCATGCCCAGGCCATTAGGGTCAGACGACCCCAGCTGGCTCTGACAAACGTTACACAGTCGCGAGTCCTTCACGGCACTCATACGTCTTGCTGGCCGCGATCAAAGTCTCATGAAGTTGAAATTGACGGCAGCTGGATGTCGGAGCCACGTGAGGACGAGAACGGCGTGGTTTCTGGAACATACTCCTCAAGTGTATGCATAGTAAGTCCTAAGCTTAGGTCCCTCCACTCACCACCAGAGCAATATCAAAGAGCGTCTCGTACTCTGCCTTCGACTGTTACCTGGTGCGCCTCGTAAATGCTCACCTGAGCTCTTCACCCCTACTGTCCATTCGGCATCGCATTTGGAGAATCCGACTTCGATCGCTTCTTGCGGACAACGGTATGCCTGATAATATCACCCTCATCCCGGTGTGGCAGCCATTCGCCAATGCCATATTTCTCGGGCGCCTTCCTCACTCCCCGACCACCACCACCTACGATGAGGTTTCCTGGACGGTAGTGTGGATTCGCCTGCATGCGTCGGATGACCGAGATGTGGATTTGTGCATCGTCGGGAATGTCCCGAGTTTCACCCATAGGAAGCGGCCTTCATCAAGAGTGAGCTAAAGATTGCAACACTACCGGGCCATGTACTTTAACTTACCAACGAATCGCTTTCCACTTCCCATCCTGCAGGTCCATTCGTCGAAATGGAAGGTACTCCATCATCTTCCAGAAAGACACGGTGCCACGAGGCAGGCCACTGCCGAACTGCAGACAATCGTGAGCTACAGAGTCGGTGAAGGAGCTCTCGAGCCTTTCGATAAACGCTTGGCGTGTGGTAGTATCCTCAATTCTTTCGCCAAACTCGTCAACTGCATGAGGGGAGCATCCCAGGCGAGCCATCTTGCTGGGCACCATTAGCCATTGCGCCGGTACAGCATCAAGAAACGACATACCCAGGGTCAAATTTCAACCCTGCCCTTTGCGCCTCGTGCAGCATCCACACTAGCGGCGTGTGACTGAGCATCCAGTGCTCTCTGTCTGTGCGTATGTGTTAGCGGGTGCTGTAATGACAGAGCCGCAGGGGCCTAGAGAGTCCAGCGGGCATTCGGAAAGAATTGGATGCTCACCAGACTTGTCCCAGCCACCACCGATGTCACCGTGGCCACCTGCGAACCTTGCTCACTTGCTTTAGCGGGCGCACGACCTATGTCTTTACACTGTTGCTTACCACACTTCTTGGATGTCTTGTGGACGACGTGCCCCGGACCATGTGCGTCTGGCATGCCTCCGCGGCGACTTTGGTCTTTCACGAAGATGCTCGGTTGAAGCAGAATGCATAGGTCCCGCGAGACTGTCGGATGAGCTTTTGGGTGCAACCTGATCAGGCACTGATAGATGACCCCCTATCGAGTTCGAAAAAGCAATCCTTGGACCTTGCTGCGTTGATTTTTGCTCGTGAGACTCCTGGTTCTCCACTTTCTCATTCATCTGCGCGAGATCTGACTCGTACCGATGCATCTCGGGCTCGGTATGGTCCGCGTGTTGCTGGTGGCTGCCACCGATGAGGTCTTGTCGAAATTTGGCCCGCCTTTCGTCGATAGAGACAGCATGCCGTATGACCTTGGCTGATGAACGGGCGGTGTAGGGGAATTTACTTCTCTGCATCCACGCAGACTCGAACCGGGGCACCGAGTTGACCGTGTCAAAAAGCCCGAGAAACCGAATACGGCGGACCGGTCTGCTGCTGCAGTGGGTGTTAGATCGCTTGCATCAGCGCAAAAGACGACATCCTGCAGGATCAGATCGATGCCTCTGAGCACTCACAATGTTTCTCTGAAGCCTCGCATGAACTCGTACTGTTCTTTCTCAGCTTTGTGGGCCTCTTTACTGCCGTCATTGCTCCTGGCTGCCCATTTGGCATAAGTCTTCCAAGCAAACCGTATGAGCTCCTCGTTCCCGGCTGCCAGCAATCCAATGTGGTCCAGCATTTCTGCTAGGAAGCGAGCGGTATAAGCTCCACGGCTGAAGCCAAAGAAGTACAAGTCGTCTTCGCAGCTGTAATATCGCATGAGGAATTTGTAGCCTCCCATGACGTGATCCGCGAAAGACGTGCCGACGGCCTCATCTTTGGTTTTGAGGTACCATGACCGGATTCGACCGAGAGTGGACGTTGTTTGGATCTACGAGCGTAAGCACCCAGCATTCGATGGTAGGTCAACGTACCGAGTGAGTTGTGATGTACGTCCCGATGCCCGGTTGGTAGAAGGTGTACATATTCACATCAGTGCGATCGAGCATGCGGTAGAGCTTCAAGATGTTGCTGTCGGTCTCTTTGCCGCTGAACTTGTTGCCGGTGCCCTCCAATACCGTCACTAGCTGCCACACAACATTGCAGGTTCGGCACTTACATCAAAACAGAGCACGAAGATGTTCTTCTGGCGGCTTTGACTTGGTTCCGGTACGGCCATAGCAACAACAAGCTTGAGTCAAGGGAAGAATGCACGCAACGGCATAAGAATAGCAGCAAAGAAGGGGAAAAAGATGATAATGGAGTGTAATCATAAGTATAGACAGATTTCTGACCGGTCTGCCAGGACAAGGAGAGCACGGAGGCCATCAATCAACTATCCAGCATTGACGTAGATGGCAGTGTGTAGCCCCTTCCACATGGCTGTTTTGGGATTCACAGCAGGATCCCTTCGGCGCATATCGTGACTGACTGCATACTGGGTACACTCGTGGTCGGCCTTGACCACCATTATCCATGGATCTTCATCATCGTCAAGGCAAGACGGCAGCACTCGGGTGCGAGGTCGCTGGAGTTGTGGATCTGCAATACAGATCATGCTACTTTTCAGGCTTTTGATTCGAAATGGAAGCTGCCTAGTGTACGTGAAGTGCCAGGCTTCGTTGCTTGTGGTGCTTGGTGCAGTTACACAACTCCGCTCCTGCCACCCACCAGCACAAATGGTGTGTCCGTGGTTGATCGCTCGCTAATGCCTTTCGGCAGATCGGATTGATTGCTGTACCAGGTATCTTCGACATCGATCGTGCCTCGATTCGGCAGCTGAAGCCCGAAAGAGGGCGCAGCTTGACCGATTTGCTGTCGTTGGTGAAGGAAGTGACTGGAATGCAGCCAGATCCTGGACAGGTGCCGCTGACCGCCAATCGATATTGCTTGGACACAGAACTGTCTGCTTAGGATGATGGGTTCGTGGATTGGCTGGAGGAGAGCGATCGACATCGACCGACAAGCGAAAGATAGTCGAGGAAACCTTCTTGATGCATGAAGACAATGTGTGGTCGAGACGGAGACAAAAGAGGGTTACTGGGGGTTGGGCGTGCTGCCGGTTCGGTCCGGATGGGGGTGGAAGGCCACCCGGAGTTGCGCAATTGGCTGTCTAGGGAACGTCTATCCCACCTAGCGAGTTCGGCTGGCGCCCAGCCAAGCCCCCAAGGCCCCCGGAACGGCATACTGGGGCCCCATTAGCACAACCGACAGCTGACACCTCCGCTGCTAACCTTCAACCGTCCTACCACCTCCATCGTTCTCGCGAAGATGATTGATCCAGGACGCATTGACAGCAAACATCTGTACGCCATCACCACATTTCACGTAAAAGGAGAATGTGATCACAGAAAGGATGTTCGATCGTTTACCCTATTTCGTCCGCACAGGTGCTTCAGTGATGTCTCGATACAGCATGCACGACTTACACAAAGACGAGTCCTCAGTGGCACGATATGAAGAGACACCGATCCAAGCAGATGACCCGCTCGCGCAGTAATGGAGCCCAACAAGGCCGATCTTCAGAAGGCGCGCAGACGGACGACGCACGGTGCCATCATGACTTCGAGACAAGAGCTGCCACATCGACGCCATTCGATATATCTGCTAATTGCTACTGCAGACGAAGCCATCAGTGCACATGATACAAGGCCGGCGGATGCCGCTTCGAGCCATCCCTTGAGCTACTTCCCCACCACGGCGACCTTTAGCAGGCCGTGATAGACAGCCTGAGTTCTCCGACATGGGGATGGAGCTGCGATGATCATGCTCGGCCACTCCTCATGTTGATGTTTGAGCCATCCCTCGCTGCAGTCATGGTCCCCAGCTTCTGATCTCTACCTCTCCCGACTCTTCACGTCCCTATCCAAGTCTCTTCTCTCTCGTTCTGCAACCTGGCCCCGAGCATAACCTCCATTCCGGAAGACGACCTCAAGCATGCCCTTGTTACGCAGGCTATCTTCTAGCTTTAGGAAGAACAAGGCCGTCAATGGCAACGGTGGCAGTGGTGGCAACGGTGGCAATGGTACTCTTCCATCCATTGACGAGTCCAAGCATTCGCCTGTGGTAAACGGGGAAAACACCAATGGTGCCACGACAAACGGTGCATCGATTGGCCAGAGCCTGCAGAAGACGAAAGACGTCCAACGACGTTCGTCGTACAAACCTACTACCAGCCTGGATTCTCCAGCACCAGACGAGAAAGAGGATGGGTCACCAGCGACACGCAAGGATGTCGAAAGTGCCTTCAGCCAATTCGCAGAACTGATCCACGCATCGCAGCGCCCGCTCCCAACCCAGTCCGGAGACGGCCAATACCTCGAGAAGGAGGAACCGACTGGTTTCTGGCAGGATCTCAAACACCTGGGATTCAAAGATGCCCAAGCAGCCTTGCACATGGTCGAGGACAAGCTCTCTGGCGGTCCGGTTGACGATCGGAAAATGCACATGGAAGAGGTCATGCAACTCATCGCCGCTCTTCCTGATCGCTCTGCCAATCGGGTCAAGCTCACCGGCTCGCTCCTGGACCTCTTGTGGAACTCATTGCAACATCCGCCGATGTCGTATCTTGGAGACGACTTCAAATACCGCTCTGCTGACGGATCGAACAATTCCTACATCTTTCCCAAACTCGGTGCTGCCAATACTCCCTATGCACGTTCAGTCCAACCCAGGACGGTGCAACCCGGTGCATTGCCCGACCCCGGACTCCTGTTCGACTCGCTTCTGGCAAGAGAAGAATTCAAGCCTCATCCCAACAACGTCTCG